GAAAACATGTTTGAGGTGTAGAGGTTGGAATTGTCCAAAAAATTCTTAGTCGACTATTAGTTGATTATTTTAGTTGATTATTTTAGTCAATTATTTAGTCAATTATTTTAGACAACTATTTTAGTTGATTCCAACCTCTATTGAAGCATGTTTCGGGTAGATATTAAATCGAATTTGTGCTTAAACTCAGTTTGATTATGTTCAACTGAAGCAAATTATCATAGCGGCCAATTTTTTAATTTGATTTGCACTTTAATTGATTCATCTAGACTAAATCATGAACTACTACTATTCTTGATTACCATAAAATATCATTTAAGCAACCCTGCAAATTTATATCTAGCAATTCTAACATCATTCTTTCAAATCTACCATTTGTACATCCAGAAGCAACAATTTGTTTGTTCCATCTCCAAAGATTTCTACATGAGCAGTATATCTACTCATTGATCTAAACTTTTATGAAATAGGTATGTAGTATCACCATTATTCAATCCAACAGCTAACTGATTTCCAAGGAAGACTGGAAATATATTTATTTGTGTATCGGTATTATTTAGAAGGTCATCTAACCTCTCCTGTATTTGCGCTCGCAAATTAACAACATCTTGGTCAAATCCTAATATCATTCTTCCAAATACTACGATTTGCTTTATGCGCTCAATATGCACCATATTTAGCATTGCTATTAACTGATCTCCAAAGAAGACTGAAAATATATTTTCAATTATTATTTCTACCATTATTATTATTATCATCATCAGTATTTTTAGAGGTCTCTTATATTTGCACTCCATAAATTAACATTTTGATCAGATCTTACTAAATACTACGATTTGCTCATTCTATGCCAAAGGTTCTACATGGGCAGTATGCTTACTCAAATAGCTATCATGTTTTTATTACTCGATCTCATAAATTTGGATTTATTCAAATAGTGTTGTACTTGTTGCAGTTGTTGCCTCTTCCTCGATTCTTGCATTAAATAATTGATCACTTATAATAAAGATCACTTGGAATAAATCAGTTGCACTTTAATTAATATAATAAATAAAAAATATCTATCCACTTTGTTAATTATTCAAATTCAAATGTCATCTTGAGAATTTTTTGTGACACAACATTATATGGTTGCTGTAATGATTTACATCATGAAAAAAAACGTAGTCATGAGATCTTTATTATATTGTTATAAAAGATTGTGCTATATAAATACATTCATTAATAAAAAAATCAAACTCCTCAAATAACCCTTTATTCAAAATTGATTATATATGAGTGAGTATTTCATAACACATGCTTCAAAACAATAAAAACAATGGTTTTATTTCATATTTACATGAAATCGTATTTCTCAGCCATTTTTGTACTTTCGGATTTTCCGGTCACGTGTGTAAATTTTCAGATCGTTTACTTTTTATCCATAATTAATTAATTATAATTTCATTCTTGTAATTATGGCAGACTCAATAATTTTGAAATCGTTTGTTTCTTTAGCATTAATGATTGAATCAATCACACAAGTGGTAGACAATTTAAATGGCATTCTTTAAAAAGGCTTTAGTCGAGTTAATATTTATTATTTTAAATATGTAAAAAAAAATTTTTTAATGATTTTTGATAAATCAATCATATTTATACATTTCTTTTTTTGATAGAAAAATTTTTTTTAACATTTGCTTATTTGTATTTCTTTAGTCAAGATTGACAAGGGTTTTCATAATAAAGTGAGCATTGCTTTTCAATCCGACATTAAATTTAATAAATTTGATGTCAAATTATTAGAAAACTCTACAAAGTGAACATAAAATTATATATATAGGGATAAGTGTATATGAAAAGTGATAATTGTAACGGCTCTAATGAATATCAAAAGGCAATTGATTTTTAAAAAAAAGGTTGTGGTTGTGGTTGCTCTCCAAGAATTCCCAAGGAACAATTTGCAGAATTAAGGGAATCCTTTCAAGCACTTTCCAAGACATATTTTTGATGTCCTAGATTAAAGCAATGGATGGTGGATCAATAAGAACTAGCAGACGCATTAAAAAAACTATATCTAATAAAGAACTTTAAATTGGAAATGATTGTTGATATATACAGTATATGATTGTTTTTGCCGTTATCATCATCATCATCATCATCATTAGTTTCTTGAGCAAACTCCAGTCTTGTAGAATTTGGAACCTTACTTGGGACAATTATTAATCATACGATCTAACATTTCATTAAGAATTACATCAAGCACCTTTTGTCTATTAAATTCCTGAAAATATATCCAAATATCTTTTAGGCCTTCCGGGTAATTTAGAAAAACTTTCAGAGTCTGAATTTTGATATTAATTATTATAATTACGATATTGTTATTAATTATTACTATTAATTGCTTTTATTATTATTATTTATAATTACTATATTTATTATTACCATCATTATTATATAATATATTTTATATTATTTTTATTGAAAAATATAAAACACTTCCCAACTAAGCTAAATAACTTGTCAAATTTTCATACTTTCCCTTAAACATATAACCAACCTCCTTGGTTGATCAATTCGCGATTCAAAAGCCTGCAAAGTATGCTTATTTAAATTCAAAATATATTTATTTTTTCAATGATTCATTCATTTTTTATGACAATAGCTGCCAATTTTTTATATAAATTTGAGAGATGAAGCATAGAATTTGGATTATATCCTTTATTTATGTATATGTAAATGAAAAAAACTCAACGATGTTTTTACAATATAGAGAATCTCTTGACTAATTTAATAATGTTTTCTCGATTTTTTCTTTACGGTATATTGATTACACACACAAGTCGAGAATGTTGTAAATTCCATATTTGGTATGATGACATTACGGTTTTAGTTATAACTTTTGATTTCACTCGTATGTCGTAAATAATTACCATTATTTGTCTATCATTATCAACAATGGCAACTTCCAATTTTACATTGCAGAACTTTTTGTTTCGTCAACTATGTAATAGCGCTCAGCGGCCAATATTATTTAATAATGATTTTCGATTTTTTCTTTTATGGTATATTGATTACACACACAAGTCTAGAACATTGAAAATTCCAGACATTACTTCGCAAATCACTTATCAACCAGGGAATTTTTTATATAAGATCGGCAGGGCCAAGATAACAGTAAATTTCTATTATTTTATGTGGTGTTATTTCATTACGACTCATTTTCAACAAAATAGTAAGCCCCTTCAATATAGAAGTTCACATAGTTCACAAACGAATACACTTATGTCATGGTGTATGCTAAAAGAGTAGTTTTATTTAGAAAAAATTTAAGAAACATAATAATAGTAAATAACAAACATAGATAATCGATCGGCATAGATGATTTATAGCTTTTGGATTTCCATAAATTTTTTTTAATTTTAGTGTGACAATTTAACAGTATGCCATAAATAATTATAATAACAATAAAAATCAATTTGGGCTGCATGTATGCGTAAATATTTTGCAGACTTCAAAAATTCACATTTTTTTCATTATTTGTCTATCATTATGGCAATAGAATAAGTCTTCCAATTTTACATAGCAGTTGTCGTCAACTATGTAATAGACTTCGTCATTCTAATAAATAATATTTAATTTAAAATATTATTTGATAAAATCAAACTTCTTAAAAAATAATAAAAGACTATGTCTTTATTTTGTTAGTATTGTATTGACCCTTTGTATACGCATTATATTCGTGATGATTTAATGATTTAATTATAGGCTTCTACGAAAAAAACATTTAACCTTTTGTTTATTCTAATTTATAATTTTGGAGAGTTATAAATTCATTCATCTTTCGTAGGGAAAAAATCTCGAATAAATCAAAAAATAAATCAAAATTTAAAAAATAATTTCAATATTCAAAAAAAAAATATTAAATATTAAAAAATGAATACTCTCAACAATAAAATCGTCTTATTTCTTACTATTTTCGTTATTTTATTGATCCAAGTTGCAAGATCTAAAGTAGAAGGTATTATTAATATTGTATGATTTAAATTTTTTTTTTAAATTTTTTTTAAATCCAATCTTAATTTAATCAGCAGGTGCAATAGTTACACAATCTACATTGAGTGTAACTGGAACTTCAAGTTTCAATGCTACTTCTACTTCTCTTATTACTACCCCCACTCCCACTCCCACTCCCACTTCCACTCCCATTCTCACTCCCATTCCGACATAGACATTCGGTTCTTAGAACATCATTCTTCTTTTTCTTTACTAAATTTTCTCTGCAATGTTCTTTTTTCATTTTTCATTGAAACTTCAAAATTTCTTTTTTTTTTTTTTAGCAATAATTAATTAATTCCCTTTCTTTCAATTAAATAAAAGTTCCTTTTTTTTGCAAATCGAATAAAGACATTAAGAATATTTTTTTAACATTTTTTGAAAGATTTCCGATAAAAATTTCCCAAATTGGCATTTTCCCGATTTTTTTTTGTGAACTATAAGCAGGTCCCCTGAATACGTTACGCTTCTATTAGATGGCCAATCATATAATTTAATTACGAGAGTCATGCATGCATGACAAGAAAATTTGTCAAACATCAATGTATAAATGAGTAATCAAACACACTATGAGCAAATACTATGGTAACAACGACTTATTCCCTAATACTAATTCTAACAATAAAAATTTTCCTTCGTCATTTTGGCAAATTTAATTAGTAATTTAAATTTTTGGGGCGCAATAATAGGTCTGTAAATTTAAATTAGAATCAATTTTAAACTGGTTCGTGTGATGTAACGTGCGTGTTATTAATAATAATAATATAAATTATGCATGAATGTATCTACGTACAAATTTTTATTTTTTATATATATATACATATACGTATAAGTAGTTTATTTCATTCTTACAGAAATTTTTTAAAAAAAAGAGCTCTGTCAAAAATCATACTTATATAATAAACAAGTTAATATCTAAATTTCTAAAAAGAATCAAAAAAAAAATATATATATAGTTTATAAGAATGGCAATGTCAAAAATTTATATACTTCCAATTTATAATCACGACAATGACGAAGAAGTATTAGCAAATAGTAGTAACATTAACAACAAAACCAACACAAACAATATAACAGACATTAATGACATGGAAGTTAGTATTAATAGTGAAACTACAACTTTTTTTTATACGTTTGATGAGAAAAATCAAATGTGTTATAATGACAATAACAATTATAATAAAAGAAATGAAATCAATAAAAGACTTTTTTATTCCAAATTTATTTCTAGAATAGCATTTCTTTTTTCATGCGCGTTTTTATCGCTTATGATAATATTTTATTTAATTAGAACAATTCCTGATTTATCTTTACCAACCTCAATGCAAGATGTAAAAAATCAAGCAATAATATTACATAGTTATTCCAACAATTCATGGCACGGCTATTTACATATACTTTTTGTGCTATCTTTTATTTATATTTGGAAGCAAGCATTTTCCATTCCTGGTGCTTTATTTTTAGTAAGCATGAAATCATGTAATTATTATGACATTTTAATTTTTTTATAAAAATTGTGCGCACGCAAATTTACTCATATTTACTTATCACACATTAATAGAATTTATTAGCAGGAGCTATGTATGGTCCCATGAAAGCAACACTATTTACTTGTTTATTAACATCAATTGGTGCAAGTGTTGCGTATTTATTAAGTAAATTCGTTGGTAAACCATTTGCGGATTTTTATCTTTTAAATAAATTGATTAATCTTCGTAAACAAATTGATGAAAATCGCGAAAATTTGTTTTACTATTTACTATTCATCAGAATGTTTCCTCTTTCGCCCTGGTGGTAAGTAGTGGTAGTAATTTAGAAAATTTCTCATTAACAACGAACGATCTCTTCCTTACGCATCTTTCTACTTATTCAATTCACAGGTTATTAAACATCACGTCTCCACTATTATCTATTCCAATTGGGACATTTTTCATTACAATGTTTTTTGGATCAATTCCGTATAATCTTGCGTGTTGTCAATCAGGAGATATAATATCGGAACTCAACTCAACAACTGATATGTGGCATCCAACTGTATTATTTAAATTACTAATAATCTCTTTATTAAGTCTTATTCCACCTTTACTAAGTAAAAAAATAAAATATAATAATTTATCTTCGAGGTTAATAATAGAAGACGAAGACCATCGGAAGCAGATATTAATTAAATCTGGTCAAATTATATAACATTTATTTCATATTATTGTAATTTTTTCTTGGGCGAATACATTGATACAATTATATTTATTTACTATTTATATATTATTTATTACTATTATTTTAATTCTAATTTCGATTGTTAGAGATTTATTCTTGGCATTAATATTAATAAAATTCATTCTTGGCATTTGTATTGTTATCCAAATTGTCAATTTGGACTAGTTACACAACAAATTTCACACACGTATATATAGTAAAGTTTTGTCTATTCTATCAAATAACGCGCTAAACCAAGTGTGATTTTGATTTTTTTCTAATTCTTTTGATTGATTACATTTATATTCATTATTTATATTTAAATATAATTATTTGCATTTCACACGAGAAAATCTATTTCCCGGGTCCATTGCATCCGTTGCCTTTAATGGGTTCATTAATGGAGATTCAATGAAATCATGAAGATTTAGCTGAAATTTGGTTGGTAAATTTACAAATTATAAGACTGCCATAAAAGATTATTTTGAAAAAGTTTTTTCAGGGATCAAAATTTAGTCATTTGTAATGTGATTATAATTATCAGTTTTATAATATCCCATTTGTTATCTTAAG